TTATCTACCAATTACATTCTGGATTTGGTTCAGTACTTAGCTTTTCTTTTTGTAAGGATCTTTAGCTTAAATTGTTAAAATGATTTATTGATGTCTGTTTGTAGGATGCTGAAGAAGACCATGAAAGAACACATCAAATGGTTTTACTGAGAAAGCTTTGTCTGCCAATGTTGTGTTTTCTGCTTCATACAATATTGCACAGTACTGGTCAGTATCAGGAATGCCTACAGTTAGCAGATATGGTATCCTCTGAGCGCCACAAACTGTACCTGGTAAGTTCTAGAGCATTGTAGTTTTAAATTTTAATGATTTGATATGCTCGGTAGTAATATTTTGTGAAGATGTGTTTACATTTGTAATTGTTCTTGGATTTTCTTAAAGTAATAGTCCTGTTTTAATGTTTGTGCTTTTTTCCCAAAATGTGTATATATTTGTAAGCAGTTAGAAATATATAGACTGACTCTGAGAATTCGCCTTGAAATTCCTGAACCACTCTAATTTACTAGCCTTTGGCTACATAAATCTTAAAGAGGAATTTCTTCTTATATGAAGCTAATCAGATTGATTAGCTAACTAAGTTCATACTTGTCTTTGTTCTCATTCTTATTTCTCTTTTTAAAAATCAGGTATTTTCTAAGGAAGAGCTAAGAAAGTTGCTGCAGAAGCTAAGAGAGTCCTCTCTAATGCTCCTAGACCAGGGACTTGACCCATTAGGGTATGAAATTCAGTTATAGTTTAATCTTTGTAATCTCACTAATTTTCATGATAAATGAAGTTTTTAATAAAATATACTTGTTACTAATTTTTTCTTTTGCATTGCCATGTAAAATTTAGCCATTTGAATTTTGTACGTTTCAGAATATTATCGTGACACTTTGAACATGTAATGTATGTATATCAGCGTTTCTCTGTATGCTTATTAATAAAACTATATAAAAACTAAAATTTTTCTGTTTTTACAAATTCGAGGATTGTCTCTTTATGAGAAAATTAAATTTTCTATTCTAGTTTTTTCTGTAATCATAAGCATTCTGATATTTTAAAATCATAAAGATGGGCCAGGCGTGGTGGCTCAAGCCTGTAATCCCAGCACTTTGGGAGGCCGAGACGGGCCGATCACGAGGTCAGGAGATCAAGACCATCCAGGCTAACACGGTGAAACCCCGTCTCTACTAAAAAATACAAAAAACTAGCCAGGCGAGGTGGTGGGCGCCTGTAGTCCCAGCTACTCGGGAGGCTGAGGAAGGAGAATGGCGTAAACCCAGGAGGCGGAGCTTACAGTGAGCTGAGATCCGGCCACTGCACTCCAGCCTGGGCGACAGAGCCAGACTCTGTCTCAAAAAAAAAATAAAATAAAATAAAATCATAAAGATGATGGAAAGTGGATTTATTTTTAAGCCAGGTAAGTAATTTTTTATAAAATTTAGTATTTTTTGAATATTAAAAGTAAGACTATAAAAGAATGTTTTCTAACATAACATGCTATTATTATTTTAGTTATTTTGAAGACATTTCTAGTTTAGCTTTCATTTAGCAAACTTCCTATCAAAACAAGAGTATATAAAAACTTAGCATAGTACCTGGCACATAGTAAGCACTGAATACATTGGAGATTACAAATCCAGCTCTTCTAATAGGGGAAATACCATAAGTATATTTAAAAGGTGTCATTAAAAAATACAAGTAGTGGCTGGGTGCAGAGGCTCACGTCTGTAACCCCAGCACTTCAGGAGGCCAAGGCAGGCGGATCACCTGTTGTCAGGAGTTTGAGACCAGCCTGGCTAACATGGTGAAACCCTGTCTCTACTAAAAATTACAGAAATTAGCTGGGCATGGTGGCAGGCACCTGTAAACCCAGCTATTCAGGGGAGGCTGAGACATGAGAATCTCTTGAACCTGGAGACAGAGGTTGCAGTGAGCCGAGATCGCGCCACTGTACTCCAGCCTTAGGGACAGAACGAGACACTGTCTCCAAAAAAAAAAGAATTACAAGTAGTCTGAGCAGGAAGAAGCTCTCTCCAGCTGAAAAGACTCTCAGGAAGTAATATTGGGTTGGGATTTGAGTAATGCACTGAATTTGCAAAGGCAAAGAGAGACACAAGAAGGATGAGGCTCTCTACAGATTAAGAAATCAGTATGAGCAAGAAATTATAAATGCTGGGCATTTTTATGAACCAACAAATACACCAAATAGGCTAGAGTGTAGGGCTTATAAACAGGAGACAACTAAAAGAATGTGAATCTAATAGAAAACAGTAATTCCCCAAACTTGCTAATCATCTAAGGAATTTCTTGAATATGTATTTATAGATGCCACCCCTAAAGAGAGCTGGCTCAGGAAGCCTGAGATGGGATCATAGAATTTGATCAGCTCTATATTATGTGCTTTTTTTGTTGTTGTTTCTCTAAAGAATTAATCTTGTCTTCCTGTTTTCTTTATTCTTACTAATATGCAAATGATTTTTACAGCTCATGCAGTCCTGTAATCATGATTATTGCTATGCTGCTTTGCAAAAAATAAAAACAAAAAATTCATACCAAAACAAATACAGACTAGATTGGGGGCGGGGAGGGGAAAGAAGTGAGTCTTAAAAGTAGTTTTGTTACTTGCAACCAACTATATATATAGAAACTTTGTACAACCTAGGGTGACTATTTCCAAAGACTATTACCTATTTGTTGAACAACAGTGGAAAACTACTTAGCCTAAATGAGGAGGAGGAATATTATATGCTTCCATCCTAACTGTATGTGGGTAAATGGACAAGGTCTGTCATCTATTTAGGAACTTGTTTTGCATACCCCCTCACCTCTGTATTCATCTTTTGTTTTGCCTTGTTTTTTGAATGTAATTTTAAAAACAACAACAGAAACCCACTAAGGTTATAGAATTACAAAATTCTTTCAACCTTAGACTCTTAATTAGGATGCCCTCAAATGGACTTGTTTTTCATTTTTATTTATTTATTTTTGAGATAGGGTCTTGCTGTGTCTCCCAGGCCAGAGTGCAGTGGCATGATATCTCACTGCAAACCTCCATCTCCCAGGTTCAAGTGATTCTCTGCCTCAGCCTCCCTAGTAGCTGGGATTACAGGCGCCTGCCACCACGCCTGGCTAATTTTTGTATTTTTAGTAGAGACAGGGTTTCGCCATGTTGGCCAGGCTGGTCTCAAACTCTTGACCTCAAGTGATCCACTCACCTCGATCTCTCAAAGTGCTGGGATTACAGGCATGAGCCACAGTACCTGGCCAATTGGACTCATTTGAGTCCTTAGGTAGTCAATATGTGTGTTGCTGCTTATTTAAATACAGTTCAAGTTGGAGCCCCAAGAGCGCCAATGTGCTCCTCACAATTCCCAGATGCCTCTGTCTTCCTGAACACCAGAAGTGGTGGGCACCTGAGTGGGAAATTTCAGGCAACTTAATTTAGTTCCTCAGTGCCTACTCTTAAAGAACTGGGTTTTCATTCTAGAGAAGAAACTCTTAACAAGGGCATGTTTCCTATCGCAGGTTCACATACTAATTTTTAAAAATTTTCTTGGTGTAACTTATGCCAAGGAATTATGAAGACTTTTTCCCTGAGTATTGCATGAAGGCTACAAAGTTGCAACAGGCATGTCCTGGGTGTGAACGTTTTAATTTCCCTACCTCATTCATTTAATTTAGAGATGGGGGTCTCACTGTGTTGCTCAGCTTCAAAGTCCTGGACTCAAGCAATCCCCACGTCAGTCTCTCAAATAGCTGGGACTACAGGCCCATGCCACCATGCCCCACTTGCTCATTTATTTTAATTTTTTTTTTTTACCATATTCTTTCTCTTTTTAATTTTGTGACTGCTGAATTAATCCTAGACTCTATCTTAAAACTAAGAATTGATGTATTGGTAGGAACAGCTGGACATTCAAGATATTTTTGTGATTCCTTTTTTAAAAATCCCCTTTTGAGGCCGGGCGCGGTGGCTCAAGCCTGTAATCCCAGCACTTTGGGAGGCAGAGACGGGCGGATCACGAGGTCAGGAGATCGAGACCATCCTGGCTAACACAGTGAAACCCCGTCTCTACTAAAATACAAAAAAAAAATTAGCCGGGCGAGGTGGCGGGCGCCTGTACTCCCAGCTACTCAGGAGGCTGAGGCAGGAGAATGGCGTGAACCCGGGAGGCGGAGCTTGCAGTGAGCTGAGATCCGGCCACTGCACTCCAGCCTGGGCAACAGAGCGAGACTCCGTCTCAAAAAAAAAATAAAAATCCCCTTTTGTACCTGTAATATCTACAATATATAATCTTGCTCTGTTGACTTGAGGAAGAAGGAGAAAGGAAGAACCTGACTTCTGTGTGAAGGACCTTACTGCAATGTCGATCAAGACTGTTACTCAAAGTTGTAACTCTTAGTCATTGCACCTGACTTTAGGATCCAGAACATACATACATATACACACACACACACACACACACACACACACCCCTAGAGACAGCTGTATACAGTTCTGGCAAGTTGTGCGTTTATTTCTCGAGTTGTAATTGAACACAATAGCACTTGTTTACATTGTCAAGGGGACATCTTTAGAGAACACATTTTCTCACTGTTGAGCTAATAATGCTTTGTGAATGTATGATCTAAGGAGAAACCCTTGTAGTTATACCCGATGAGGCTGTCTGTTGGAAAGTAGATTTTGAATGTCTTTCTCGAAAAACAAAAAATAAAAACATGCTTTCGATAAGTTCTTTCCCCCTCTGGCGAGGGCTAAATTTGCTCAGCATTTAATAGGTAAAATTGGCTAACAGTGTCTGCACAGCCAGAGAGAAGTTGTCTAGCAAATCGGGTCAGTGACACACGGGAAACAAACATCAAGAAAGGGGTCCTAGATTGGTCTAGTCAGGTAGGCGTTAGGTGACCAAGGGGGCTGGGGACCCAGAGGACGGGACACAAAGACGCGAGCGTCGCGCGCCCAGGGCTCAGCGCGCCTGCGCAGGGTAGCGGCCGTTCAGCCCGCGGCTCCGGGGCGGAGGCACCGGAGCCCCGGGTCACGTGGCCGCAGGCGGAGATGGGCGGGGCGTGGGACGTGCTGCCGCGTCCTCGCTGGCTTACAGGGCGGCGGCGGGGCGTGTGTCGTCTGTTAAGAGTGCTGCTCGCCCAGGGTTGATCTGTGCATGCCACTCCTGGGTCAGACGGTGAGGTCGGCGTCTGCGAGGACGCGGCGGTGGAGAAGGGCGACCGGAGACAGGCCGGGCGCCCCTTCGGAGGCTAAACGGCCCCGGCTTCGCGGGAATCATGGCATCGCTGGTGGACCGAATGCGGGGCCACGGGCGAATCGCCGCCGGGCTCCTGTTCAACCTGCTGGTGTCCATCTGCATTGTGTTCCTCAACAAATGGATTTATGTGCACCACGGCTTCCCCAACATGAGCCTGACCCTGGTGCACTTCGTAGTCACCTGGCTGGGCTTGTATATCTGCCAGAAGCTGGACATCTTTGCCCCCAAAAGTCTGCCGCCCTCCAAGCTCCTCCTCCTGGCCCTCAGCTTCTGTGGCTTTGTGGTCTTCACTAACCTTTCCTTGCAGAACAACACTATAGGCACCTATCAGCTGGCCAAGGCCATGACCACGCCGGTGATCATAGCCATCCAGACCTTCTGCTACCAGAAAACCTTCTCCACCAGAATCCAGCTCACGTTGGTGAGTAGCTTCAGCTTGCCAAGGCGCGGCTCTCCCGACCCACCTCCTGCACTGGCCCCGGGAAATTCGAACGCACACTGGTCTTTCCCTTCATCTTGAAATCCACAAATGAGTCATCTGTGAGCCAGTGAAGTTTCAGGCTTATTTTGGGGAGGGGGAAAACGCCATCTTGTCAACCCAGAAGAGTGGGCTTGTGTGAGTTTTAGTAGCTGCCATTTGATGGAAATCGTTAAATGCTGTGATCGATAAGAAAAACTATTGTGTGGTACAGTCCAGTGTTATCAGAGTATCTGCAAAAGCTCAAACTGAAAAACAGCCTTTCTCCCCTAGGGGAATCAAATCGTGTATGATAAAATGTGAAGAGATTTAGCATAAAGTAGGTCTCAAAATGTCTGCAGCACCATACTGCAGAGCTATCTGCAACTTTAAATAAAAGGAGGTGGACTCAATTTTAGCACTTAGTAACTTAGTATATTTAAGGTCTTCTTTCTTTTTTTTTTTTTTTTTTTTTTTTTTTTTTTTTTGAGATGGAGTCTTTCTCTGTTACCCAGGCTGGAGTGCAATGGCGCGATCTCGGCTCACCGCAACCCCCGCCTCCCGCGTTCAAGCGATTCTCCTGCCTTTGCCTCCCAAGTAGCTGGGATTACAGGCATGCGCCACCACGCCCGGCTAACTTTGTAGTAGAGACGGGTTTTCTCCATGTTAGTCAGGCTAGTCTCAAACTCCGACCTCAGGTGATCTGCACGCCTTGGCCTCCGAAAGCTCTGGGGTTACAGGTGTGAGCCACCGTGCCCGGCCTTATATTTAAAGTCTTTATGCTTTTATTGTTTTATATTTATGCTTATGCTGTTTAGACACTATTTCGGGGATCCATTTACTCACCTTTGTATTCATGTGGTATTTTCTTGCAAAGTGCAATATATTTACCACAAATTTAAAATAGAATTAAATGTGAATATCAATATAGATTTATCATATTTCACGTTTAGGAAATAGGATTAACAACCAGTTTTCCCAAGTGAAAAAAGAAAACATTTATATAGGTTCATTGTTTCCCAGTTATGTGTTTATCATTAGCCTTGTAAGACATTGTGAAAGGAATACTAAATTTTTGTCTCCTGAATTTAATCTGAACAACATTTACCTCTTTTTCGTTACAGATTCCTATAACTTTAGGTGTAATCCTAAATTCTTATTACGATGTGAAGTTTAATTTCCTTGGAATGGTGTTTGCTGCTCTTGGTGTTTTAGTTACATCCCTTTATCAAGTGGTTGGTAATTTTTTTTTCTTTATGTGCCTTTTTAGCAGATTTCATAAATTTTGAAGCTGTATTCCAAGGTTTAGAAAATACAGTATAGAGACAATAGACTGTTGGGAAGAAAGCGTAATTGCTTAAGTTGACTCAAGGTGAAGAGAAGAAAGGAGACAGAGAAACTTGGGTGTGTGATGCTGACCAAATACCTACCTGTTTGTAAGTGTATAATATCCATGCTTAACAGTCTCAGCTTGGGGTGAAGTTATTTTCTGGGAAATCTTTACAAAATATGTAGTAAGACTTTATACTTCCTAAGTTTATTTATGTTTTTTGTGTACTCTTTACTTTTAACATTGTTGTGAAGGAGTGAGTATACTTCCAGAAATCTGAACAGTAAAGAAAAATTTCAGATTTTTAGATTTTTTTGCCTCAAAAATTATACTGCTGTTGTACTTGTTTATTGGCTTTTAATAATTTGTCTAATATAGATTATTATATTAATATAATAGAGTAATTTATATCAATGAATATTTTACCATTTGTACAAGCACAGTGCCTTGCCTATAGCAGACATTCATTAAAAATGTGTTCATGGATTCAGTTACTTCATTAGCATAAAACCTAACAAGTATGGTTTTTGTTTCTTATGTAGTGGAGAAAAAATAACTTGCTGTAGGGGACAGTGAAACAGTATTCTCTCTATACTGAAAACCTTGGTCTGGAAATTCTGTGTGTGCCTGTATGGGAAATCAAAGCCAAAATGTGTAACCAATTTTACTTTTTTCACAAACATCCACTGGTTATTAAACTAAGGCATTCCTGTTAGAAATGTTAGGAGTTCAGTAATAGAGCCCTGGCATCTTAAACATTCTAGTAGTGATCATGTCAGAGACGGTGTTTGAAAATATTCTGCAGTGAAATACATTTTCTAGTGACAGAGAAGCAGTTTAAATAAAAGAAGAGGCTAGTGAACATTCCTATTCATCTTTCTTGTTAAATGCACTTGTTTTTGCCTAGTATAGGCTATTAAACAGAGCAAGAAATTGTACTCCTTATATGTAATGGATTCAGAGTACTCACCATCTCTGTCACTATGACCATTTTTGTTCACACAAGTCTCAAAATTGCTATAGATTAGAATCAAAGGTTCTATATCCCTAAGGTAGATATTTGAAATGAGATTGACCAAGGAATGATTGTAGATTAATGGACGGTTTCTTATCAGTAAATGGTAAAGCTATTATTACAAAATAGGTATATTCCCAAAACATTCCTCTTAAAGTTGTATCTGCCCACTGTATCTTGGCATAATTTCTATGTTGTTTCTCTTATACTGCTGGAGACATTAAAAGGAGTTAAAAGACAAGTGACCAGCTATTAGCTTGAGTTGTAGAAAGATGGTTGGCTCACTCATTCATTCAGCAGACATCTTTTCCGCATTATGTTCACCGTTGAGGATACAAAGATGAAAAGCAGCTACAGTCCAGCAGTGTAGAAACACATGGAGACAGCTGGTCACAATAGCATATGTACCCCAAGGTAGGAGGAAAGTTCTGAGGAACACCAAGGAGGAAGTGGCAGCTCTAAAAGAGGGGTGGTGAGGTAAGACTTTACGGAAAAGTTAACAATTTAAATGGAAGGGCACACAGAAATGAGCTCAGCAGTAAAGGACAGCTGGTCTTTTCCTTGCAGTGTATGTGAAAGTCTGGAGCAGTTTCGGAGAACTTGATTTGTTTGGTGAGGCTAGGCAGTCAGATGTCAGGGTCATGAAGGCATACTAAGGAAGTGTGTCTTTATTGAGCACACACCAGGAGAGGGGTTCAGACAGGGACTGACTTGATCGTTCCCCTTTAGAAAAGCAACTGATGGCAAGGAAGGGTGGGTAAAAGGGAAGGAAGGGTGAAAGGCAGAGCAGTCAGGAACCTACCTGTGCTTCACGGGACAAGCAGGAAGGGCCTGGGCTAGGGCAGTGGGAATGGACAGGGAAAGGTTAAAAGGCACTCCAGGGGCCTTTTGGGGAACACATGGGAGAACCTGATTGAATGTGAGAGTGAAGAAAGTAAGGCTTTGATCCCTGAGGGGGATTATATCATCAATTATTGGAACCACGCAAGAGGAGCCCATTTGTGGAAGAAAGGCACCAGTTGATTTTAAACAAGTTCCTGCAGATTATATAAGTAGAGATGGCCAGGAGACTGGCTAATACAAGGTTAAGGATGCTTAAGGGATGAGGGAAGAACAGTAGATCTCAGCAAATAGTAAAAGACATCAGTCAGGGCGATAAAGAGGAAGGCAGACATCTGCCTTAAAAACTAAGTGCAGGAGGCAGTGAGGGAGGAGTGTAAACCGGAGGGTAGTTCTTCCAAGCAAAATTTGCAGGTTCTGCAAAGAGGGCTCGCAGGAAGGGCCACAGGGAGTCTGGACATGGCCATGGAGGTCATGGTGCCCTTAGGAGAGCATTGGAGGGGTGGTGGCAGGAGCCAGGCTGTGCTGCATTGAGGAACAGTGGAGGCTTGAGAGCCCCTGCTGTTCCAGGCAGTCCTGTGGCCAAGACACACAGCTGCCTGGAGAGGCTGCAAAAGGAAAGTGGGGTGAGCACACACCCTCTGTATCCATTTTTGCTCGTTGCTGTGCCCCGAGGAGCAGGCAGCTTAGAAGAATCAGTTCTTTGTCCTTCACATTCACAGAGAACTCTTAGTTAAAGCTGGCAGGAGTATGGTTCAAATTCCCTGCTCTTCTATTTTTGTCTTGATGAATTTCTATAGACTTAGAATTTATGTAACAAGATACCCAGACCTACAGGAACAAGACGTATGTAGAAGTCATTCAAAAGCCTAGCTGTTCTTGCCAGATGTGATCCAAACAGTCCTGTTAGAGCTTCTTCAGAGCCTCTTTTTCAGTTATATTTGTGAAGCATTTTGTGGACAAATGGGATTTGAGGTCTTGAGATGTTGTTTCTACTGAATGGTACGGTATTTTAGGGTTAGTGATTATCCAACGTATCTAGGTGTATTGGTGGGGGATGAGGAATAGTATCCACAGAAAAGTCATCCAGAGAGAGGACAATGTCTTCTACCATTGATTGGGTTCTCCAAAGCAACTGACAAGACCACATACCTTTTCAAGCCACACACATTGGCAGCCATCTCTAACCTGCCCCATGCCCCATTGTCATCCTGTCCCCCCAACCTCTGTCTTCCTTTGTTTTTTTTTAGACAGAGTCTTGCTCTATCACCCAGGCTGGAGTGCGGTGGTGCAATCTCGGCTCACTGCAACCTCTGCCTCCTTGGTTCTCCTGCTCAGCCTCCCGAGTAACTGGGACCACAGGCGTGCACCACCATACCTGGCTAATTGTATTTTTAGTAGAGATAGGGTTTCACCATATTGGCCAGGCTGGTCTCGAACTCCTGACCTCAGGTTATCTGCCTGCCTCGGCCTCCCAAAATGCTGGGATTACAGGTGTCAGCCACTGCTCCTGGCCCCTGTCTTCCATTTTTAAATTTTTGCCATTTTTAGAAAGAAATGAAGTCCAACACTGCATCTGTATTCCTAATCACCTGAATTTCCATTTTTCGCTTATTTTCCCAAGATCTTTTATCCTTGTAGGCCCTCATGTGCGTTTATTTTTCCCTGTTTACTAGGATCAGGTAGAAGGAAATAAAGGACTTTTCTCCCCCTTCTAAGAATTGAGAAGAAGCTAGATTATCGGAAATTAAATTTATAGAGCTATTTTCATCCATGGTGCTTAAAGGGCATTCATATAGCTTACTGGTCTTTGAAATCCTGTAGAATAATAGACATTTTATCTTCTCCTAGTCTATACCCCACATTCCCATCTTTGTGACTCTAGTTGTTGCATCTTTGATTAAGTGATACTATTTCTTTTGTGCCAGACATGTTTTATCTCCTAATTTTCAGTGGGTAGGAGCCAAACAGCATGAATTACAAGTGAACTCAATGCAGCTGCTGTACTACCAGGCTCCAATGTCATCTGCCATGTTGCTGGTCGCTGTGCCCTTCTTTGAGCCGGTGTTTGGAGAAGGAGGAATATTTGGTCCCTGGTCAGTTTCTGCTTTGGTAAGTTCTAATTGTTTTGATATCTAAGAAACAGTATAATAATAACTCCTCCATTATTAATATAATTTTTAGTTTTCAGAGCACTATGTCCGATCCATTCTCACATTTATCTTCATAATCACCATATAAAGAGGTAAGGTAAGGATTCTTTTTCAGATGAAGAAATTGAGGCACACAAAGGTGAAGGTACTTGCCTAGAGTGAGGCAGCTACTTAGTGGCAAAAGCAGAACTACAATTAATGTCTTCCGATGCCTGGTTACTGTACTGACCATGTCAAGCTAGAGCCCACAAATAATTTGGACATTTAGGTTAAGTTAAACCTTTTTTTTTTTTGAGACGGAGTCTGGCTCTGTCGTCCAGGCTGGAGTGCAGTGGCCGGATCTCAGCTCACTGCAAGCTCCGCCTCCCGGGTTTACGCCATTCTCCTGCCTCAGCCTCCCAAGTAGCTGGGACTACAGGCGCCCGCCACCTCGCCCGGCTAGTTTTTGTATTTTTTAGTAGAGACGGGGTTTCACCATGTTAGCCAGGATGGTCTCGATCTCCTGACCTCGTGATTCGCCCGTCTCGGCCTCCCAAAGTGCTGGGATTACAGGCTTGAGCCACCGCGCCCGGCCAAGTTAAACTTTTTTTACAGTGAAAACATAGCTTTATAATCACCATGTCGATTTTGAACACATGCAATAATATAAAGAAAGTGAAGGGGCCAGGCACAGTGGCTCACTCCTGTAATCCCAGCACTTTGGGAGGATGAGGTGGGCAGATCGTTTACGCTCAGGAGTTTTAAACCAACCTGGGCAACATAGGAAGACCTCATCTCTACAAAAAAATTTAAAAATTGACTGGGTGTGATGGCTCATGCCTGTAATCCCGGGACTTTGGAAAGCTGAGGCGGATGGATCACTTGAGCTCAGGAGTTCAAGACCAGCCTGGCCAACATGGCGAAATCTGGTCTCTACTAAAAATACAAAAAGATTAGCTGAGGCTGGGTGCGGTGGCTCATGCCTGTAATCCCAGCACTTTGGGAGACCAAGGCAGGCTACTCAAGAGGCTGAGGCATGAGAATTGCTTGAACCTGGGAGGTGGAGGTTGCAATGAGCCAAGATCGTGCCACTGCACTCCAGCCTGGGCCACAGAGCAAGATTCTGTCTCAAAAAAAATCAAAAAATTAGCCAGGCATGGTAGCACATGCCTATGGTCCCAGCTACTTGGGAGGCTGGGGTGGGAGGATCACTTGAGCCCAGGAGGTTGAGGCTGCAGTAAGCCAAGATAGCACCACTGCATTTCAGCCTGGGCAACAGAGGGAGACCCTGTCTCAAAAGAAAACCAAACCAAAACAACAACAAAAGAAAGTGAAGGGCCCCTGGAACGCTATCACACTAAGGTAATTACCGTTACCATTTTGGTGAGCATCATTTCATGGATCTCTTTTGTATAAACACATAGGTACACATGCATGTGTGTATAATTTTAGATATGGGATGATATCATAGATGCTGTTTTTATTGTGGATTCCTCTTCCCCAGCCTTCCTAGCCATATACTCTTCCACATTCCATTACTCCCTAATCCATGTCCCTTGAAGTCATGTTAATATTCTAAGTGCTTGTTCTTCCTTATTTTTCTCCATGCCATATATATCCATATAAACACACACACACAGACACACACACACACACACACACCCCAATTAAACATCTATTTCTTTTTTTTTTTTTTCTTTTGAGATGGCGTCTCACTCTGTCACCCAGACTGGAGTGCAGTGGTGCAATTCTTGGCTCACTGCAACCTCCACCTCCCAGGTTCAAGCAATTCTCCTGCCTCAGACCCCCGAGTAGCTGGGACTGCAGGCGCACACCACCATGCCCAGCTAATTTTTGTATTTTTAATAGAGACGGGGTTTCACCATGTTGGCCAGGATGGTTTCGATCTCTTTATCTCAGGTCCTCCCGCCTCAGCCTCCCAAAGTGCTAGGATTACAGGCATGAGCCACCGCACCCAGCCACATCTGTTTCTTTGACAAAAGTAGAATCCTATCACATATGCTTTTCTGTATCTTGCTTTTCTGACTTAATAATATCTCCTAAAAATCTCTCTAAAGCATTCTTTTCAGTGTCTGTATGTTTTGTTGTTGTTGTTTTGTTTTGAGACAGAGTCTCACTCTGTAGTGCAGTGGCATGATCTCTGTTCACTGCAACCTCCACCTCCCGGGTTCAAGTGATTCTTGTGTCTCAGCCTCCCGAGTAGCTGGAATTACAGGTGTGAGCCACCACACCTGGCTAATTTTTTTGTATTTTTGGTAGAGACGGGGTTTCACCATGTTGGCCAGGCTGGTCTTAACCTCCTGACCTCAAGTGATCCACCCACCTGGGCCTCCCAAAGTGCTGGAATTACAGACATGAGCCACTGTGCCCAGCCAGTGTCAGTATAATAGCCCCTTTGCATATTCACTTTTTTCCAGTTCTTTACCACTATGAACAATACTGTGATAAACATCCTTGTACATCATGTGTCCTCATGTACTGATACCTTTTTTCCTATGGAAATGAGTCCCAGGAGTGGAATTGGCAAATCAAGGACATATGTATTTTGGGGACTTTTATTTTTTAGAGACAGGGTCTGGCTATATTGCCCAGCCTGGCCTCAAGCTCCTGAGCTCAAGTGATCCCCCAACCTCAGCCTCCCGCGCAGCTGGGACTAATGCTTTGGGGACATTTTAAGTTAGAATGTATAATCCTCCTATGTCTCAGTTCAGGCTGCTATAACAAAACTACAATGGACTGGGTGGCTTAAACAACAGATACTCGGTTCTCACAGTTCTGAAGTCTGGAAGTCTGAGATCAGGCTGCCGGTATGGTTGGGTTCTTGGTAAAGGCCCTTTTCCTGCTTTATAGATGGCATTCTTCTTGCCGTATGCTCATCTGACAACAAGGAAGAGGAGAAGCAAGCTCTCTCGTATCTCTTCTTATCATAGGGACTAACCCCATTCATGAAGGCTCTACCCTTATGCCATAGTCACCTCCCAAAGGCCCCACCTCCCAGTACCATCACACTGTGGGTGAGGATTTCAACATAGGAATTTTGGGGGGACACAAACATTCAGTCCATAACACCTTACTTATCAGGAATTCCTGCTTCCGACAAGAGTTCCCACAACTCTTGGAACACAGTTAGTGGGAATGTCTTTTTTGTTGGTCGCATCAATTTATCAAGCACCTATATAGCCCCTATTCTCTTCCCGGCACTATTCAAAGCACTATGTAAATATTAACTTATTTAATTTTCATAACTTTATTAGGTTGATGCTATACTAATACTATTTGTATTAGTCCATTTTATGATGTTATAAAAGAATACCTGAGACTGAGTAATTTATAAAGAAAAGAGGTTTATTTTGGCTTATCATTCTGCAGACAGTACAAGAAGCATTAGTGCTGGCATCTGCTTCTAGTGAGGGCCTCAGGAAGCTTACAATCACGGTGGAAGGCGAAGGGGAAGCAGGCACGTCACATGGCGAGAGAGGGAGCAAGAGGGAGAGGGGAGGAGGTGCCAGTGTCTTTTAAACAACTAGCCTTCATGAGAACTAATAGAGCAAGAACTCATTACCCCTGGGGAGGGCACCAAGCCATTCATGAGGGATCCACCCCCATAACCCAAACACCTTCTACTAGGCCTCACCTCCAACGTTGGTGATCAAATTTCAACATGAGATTTGGAGGCAACAGACATCCAAACTATATCACTATTGTTATTATTTTTACTGATAAGGAAACCGAGAGATAGAGAGTTAGTAACTGGCTCGCAATCCCACAGCTAATAAGCAGAGCCACAATTTGGATCCATGCCTTCTGGGTCCAAAGTCTGTATTCTCCAGTGCTCCACTCTACTTCCTGTTAAGTAGACCAGTAGTGGTTTCAAATTTATATATTTTAGCATATACAGTTTTTTTCTAAAGTAGAAGTCATTGGACCATCTATCAGATAATACTTCCACTTACTTTACAAAAGTCCTAGCCATCCTGGTTATCTGGTTTCAAACCATTGCATCCTGGAGACCTTATGCTACAAGGAGAGAGGATTTTTTTGGTCGCCTTCTAACAGGTTGTAAAATGAGGACAGCAGCAGAAAAGCCATTAAAAAAAAAAAAGTCAAAGAAACCAAGACCACAGAAGGCTGAGGCCATTTAGTGTAAGGGAAAGTCATCTTCATTCCTTAATGTCCCTAGGAGGCGTCCTTGACTCAAAGTAGAGCATTGTGTCAACTAACTTTTTTTTTTTTTGCATATAAAGCCAGCATTACTCTAATACCAAAACCAGGAAAGGACATAACCAAAAAAGAAAACTGAAGACCAATATCCTTGATGAACATAGATGCTAAAATTTAACAAAATGCTAGCTAACTGAATCCAATCACATATCAAAAAGATAATCCACCATGATCAAGCGGGTTTCATACCAGGGATGCAGGGATGGTTTAACATACTAAAGTCAATAAATGTATACACTACATAAACAGAATTAAAAACAAAAATCACATAATCAGCCAGGTGTGGTGGCTCACGCCTGTAATCCCAGCACTTTGGGAGGCTGAGGCGGGCAGATCACAAGGTCAGGAGATCGAGACTAGCCGAGACCATCCTGGCTAACACGGTGAAACCCCTTCTCTACTAAATATACAAAAACAAAATTAGCCAGGCGTGGTGGCGGGCACCTGTAGTCCCAGCTACTCGGGAGGCTGAGGCAGGAGAATGGCGTGAACATGCAAGGCGGAGCTTACAGTGAGCTGAGATCGTGCCACTGCACTCCAGCCTGGGCGACAGATCAAGACTCCAAAATAAATAAATAAATAAATAATCACATGATCATCTCAATAGATGCAGAAAGAGCATTTGACAAAATCCAGCATCACTTTATGATTAAAACCCTCAGCAAAATCAGCATACAAAGAACATACCTTAATGTAATAAGAGCCATCTATGACAAACCCACAGTCAATATAATACTGAATGGGGAAAAGTTGAAAGCATTCCATTTGAGAACTGGAACAAGACAAGGATGCCCACTCTTACCACTCCTCTTCAACATGGAACTACTTTATATTCTTTAAAGTCCCTAACAAAGTAGAGTAATTGTGTTTTTAGTGATGTGATGTGCCAAGTATCAAGAAATAGGTATGCAGCATTCTGTGAACTCAATAAAATTAGCAATGATATATTTTAGATATATTTCTAGAAACTCTTTTTAAAATCTCTAAGCAAATTTCTCTATGTTGGCTATTTAATAGACCTCACTATTGTAAATTAAATGAGGTATTACTATATTTACCTAAGTAGGACACAAATCCAATTCCTCTGGTCTTCTTAAGACTGCACTGATTTTAACACTGATAAAACCTAGGGCTGGGCACAGTGGCTCATGCCTATAATCCCAACACTTTGGGAGGCCAAGATGGGAGGATCGCTTGAGCCCAGGTGTTTGAGACCAGCCTGGGCAACATGGTAAAAACCTGTCTTTACAAAAAACAAAACAAAATAACAAAACCCTACATAAGACAAAAAGCATCTTCAAATATGACATGTTTTCTTCGGAACTTAAACTTCTTAATAGTTTAGATCATGGATATTATTTTATCTAAATTGAGAAACAAAATGATTCTGTAACTTGTTGGATAAAACTATGGGATAGATTTGAACAGAACATTGTATGTGTATATAGTGTTCCAACCCATTTGTCCCCGTTTCCAGCCAAGTTATCTATAAAAAGGAATAATATTTTTACATCTACTTTGTGGATGTACGTGAAAATTAAATGAGTGAATACATGTAAAACAGAACAATTATTGGTGCATAAGTGTTATGTAAGTGCAAGCTGTGATGATCGTGATTTTTATTATGTCCTCAAGTAGTTTCTAAGCTTTGAGGGCAGGAACTTTGTACATACTGTGTTCCTCACAAGGCCTGGCCTAACTTTGTAGATATCCAATGAATGCTTATTGAGTTACATAAAAATAAAAATGAGGCCAGGTGCAGTGGCTCAGGCCTGTAATCCCAGCACTTTTGGGAGGCCAAGGCGTGCAGATCACCTGAGGTCAGGAGTTCGAGACCAGCCTAGCCAACATGGTAAAACCCCATCTCTATCAAAAAATACAAAAAAAAGTAGCTGGGTGTGGTGGCATGGGCCTGTAATCCCAGCTACTGGGGAGGCTGAGGCAGAATTACTTGAACCTGGGAGGCGGAGGTTGCAGTGAGTCGAGATTGCAACACTGCACTCCAGACTGGGTGACAGAGTGAGAGTCCATTTAAAAAAAAAAAAAAAAAAAAGAGCAATTAAGATGTTAATGTGTGGATGGTTGGGATTATAAGAATTCCTTATATTCTTTCTGCTTTTCTTTATTGTCTGATTTATAATAATAATAATGCATATGTATACTTTTCTTTAGATTAATAAGAAAAATTAACCTGGAAATTCACAATCACAGAAAGGATGTTATTGCAGTATTTTTCACTGATTCTTGTGGAAAATATTACATTTTTTTCTAAACACTGTTCATTCTGCCTTTTTACTTGCAATTCTTACTGTCTCCCAAATTCTCTTTCTAATCTTATTGATTAATGGTTGATATTTGAATTTTTTAAAATGCCAAATGAAATATATCTTTGCTTGATGACTATAATGATTGGATTGCTTTGCATTAATGGTTCTTTTGTTTTATTTGTAGCTTATGGTGCTGCTATCTGGAGTAATAGCTTTCATGGTGAACTTATCAATTTATTGGATCATTGGGAACACTTCACCTGTCACGTATCCTTTTCATATAACTTACAAATGCATCGTCTTTTATATTCTCCAAAACTTTCACATTCATTACCTTATTTGAATCTCACACTATTGCACGGCCTACATTGAGTAGAGAGAGTTATTTTTAGCCTTTTACTGTATCTTTACACACAATAGGATTTTAAAGAAATATGACTGAAGGGGTGAGTGTGGTGGCTCACACCTGTAATCCCAACACTTCAGGAGGCTAAGGCAGGTGGTTCACTTAAGGCCAGGAGTTCAAGACCAGCCTGGATAACATGGTGAAACCCTGTCTCTACAAAAAATATATAAATTAGCTGGGTAAGGTGGTGCACGCCTGTAATCCCAGCTACTCAGGAGGGTGAGGCACAAGAATTGCTTGAACTGGGGAGTCTCAGGTTAAAGAGAGCCAAGATTGTGCCACTGTACTCCAGCCTGGGCAACAGAGCAAGACTATGTCTCAAAAAAAAAAAAAGAAAGAAACATGAACTGAGGAAATGGGTTAGCTTTTTGTGTCATGAATGTTTTTGAATTTTCTTATGTAATAGATGACCTTTTCCCTTACAAAAATTAATTCAGAGTACCATTTCTTACAGACAGTGAGATTAAATAAATATTTTTTGAATGAATAATGAGGTGGAGGTTTAGATTTTCAAACCATGTTCAGGTATTTATAGTAACAAAGTAAAGGAATGGTTAACAAATAACAAAAGATAATTTCAGGCCACTGGCATCTGGCTATGGAGTATGTGTTTGTACTTATTTGGATATGGGTGTGCCTGTTTTTCTCAATATTATTTCAAGTCAAGTAATGAAGTCATTGGCCGGGCACTATGGCTCACACCTATAATTCCAACACTGGGAGGCCGAGGCAGGAGGATCACTTGAGCCCAGGAGTGCAAGACCAGCCTGGGAAACATAGGGAGACCCTATCTCTACCAAAAAAAAAAAAAAAAAAAAAAGAAATGAAGTTATATGTTAAAGGTCAAATTCAACTGTCCATTTATACCATTCTGCTTGTCTTTCTGTTTCTCTTCACATTTCACTCTGCCCCCACCCTTAGGCAAATGCAGAGAATGAATTTCCCCAGGAAGTAAATAAGTAGGATATTTGCCAACTATCAATAAAAAACAATGACGATAAGTTTTTTAGAAAACCAATACTTAACAAATATTTATTTTGTGTCAGATACTGTCAGAAATATTTTGTATGTATTAGTCCATTTAATTCTCACAGCAGCTCTGTGAGGTGGAGTCTGTCATTTTAGTTTATAGAAGAAATAGAGGCACAGAGAGGTTAGCTAGCTCACTTAAGGCCAAACAGCTGACAAATGGGATGTCCAGATTTGAACCCATGCAGTCTAGTCCCAAAATTTGTACATCATGCTACCCAATCAAGACATCCAAATGTGTGCTCTGATTTAAAACATTAATTTATTCAGTAAGTATTGAATACCCACTAAACCATTGATATAAAAATATTTATATACTGAACATCTACTATGTGCCAGGCACCGGGGATACAGTAATGAACCACATAGACAGAAGTCTTTGCTCTCACAGGCTTGAATTCTGGTGAGGAAGATTAGAAATAGAAAACAATTAAATATTTATATACAGTGTGGGATAGTGTTAACTGCCAAGGAGTAAAAATAAGGCAGGGAAGAGAATGTGAAATGTCATAGACAACACTGAAGTTCTAGGCAGGGCTAGTCAGGAAGGCCTCAGTGGGAAGATGACATTTGAGTAAAGACCTGAAGGAAATGCGGTTGCTCCATGCAGATCAGGAGGGAAGAATATTCCAGGCCGAGGCAACAGCAGGTGCGAGGCCCTAAAAAAACCAAGGAAGCCTGTGTGGTTGGAGCAGGTTGAGCAAAGGAGGGAATGTGGTAGGCTGAGAAGTAACACAGAACTGAATTGAGTAGGGCGTTTATGTAAGGACTGTTCCACTGAGTAAGATGGGAAGCCATTAGCATTTTGAGCAGAGAAGCGACATGATTTTACATACATTCTAATAGAAGCACTCAGTGGGCCGGGCGCAGTGACTCACGCCTGTCATTCCAACACTTTGGAAGGCCAAGACAGGAGGATGCCTTGAGCCCAGGAGTTCGAGACCAGTCTGGGCAACATAGTAAGACCCTGTTGCTACAAAAAGTTTTTTAAAATAAATCACAGAATCACTCAGGGCTCCTGTGTTGAGAATAGAATAAAGAAGAATTTCTCAACCTCTGGGCTGTTGACTTTCTGGGCTGGACGGTTCTTAGTGCAGGCCTGTTTAGTACACTGTAGGATGTTTTCAGCAGGCCTGGGCTCTACCACCAGATGCCAGTAGCATACATACCCTTTGCCCAATTGTGACAACCAAAAATGCCTCCAAAGATTGCCCACAAAGGAGAATCACCCGTGGTTGAGAACTACTGGACTGTAAGAGGCACAGGAAACTGTCAGGAGACTGCTGCAATATTCTAATGTACAAGTCATAGTGGCTACCAGTATGGTAGCAGTGGATATAGTGAGAAGTGATTGGATTCTGGTTATATTTCTAAGAAGAGCCAACAGGTTTTGCTGCCTAGTTGGATGTGGAGAAAGAGAAAACAAGGCTGATTTACATGGTTTTTGACCTGAGCACCTGGTAGAGTAGAGTTGCCATCAACTGAGGTAGGATAGCCAGAAGGAGGTTTGGGGCTGGGGAGGAAGATCAGGTGCTCAGTTTGGGGAGTATTTTTTTGTTTGTTTTTGAGACAGGGTCTTGCTCTTCACCCAAGCTGGAGTGAAGTGGCACGATCATGGTTCACTGCAAACTCGAACTGTTGGGTTCAAGCATTCTTCCCACCTCGGCCTTCCAAAGTGCTAGGATTACAGGTGTGAGCCCAGCCAGGTGCTCAGTTTTGGATAAGTAAGTCAGAGTTCAAAGGTGACATCTCAGCAGGAGGCATCACAGGGAGTCAGAAGTATGAAGCTGTGGTTTAAAGTGGTGAGACTGGTTGAGATTACCAAGCAAACAAGTAGAAGAAAATAAGTCCAAAGACTGAGTGTTGGGTTTGAGTCCAGTATTTGGAATTCAGAGAGATGAGAGGAACTAGCTGGAGGATGAGAAGGAGCAGTTAGAGGTGGAAGGAAGGAGGAGACTGGCACAGAACCAGAGTGAGGAGGAGGAGGAGCGGTCGGTGTCTGCGTCAGATGCCGCTGGCAGGCCAAGTTCAAGGAGACTGGTCACCAATGAGGGGCTGAGTGAGGTGGAGGGCACTGGGTTTGACCAGAACATTCTGAAGGTTGGGGTGACAGTCTGCCTGGAGTAAAGTGCAGAACTGGAAATACCACATGTAGACTGCTCTTTTTTGTTGTTGTTTTTGCAAAAGGATTCATGAATAGTTTCTTTAAATTTGACTTCCTTCTAGTATAAATATGCTTAAAAGAGAAGCCTAGGAGTAAAGAAATTTAAAGTGTTAGAGCCAGTGCACATGAAGATAGCTCATAATTGAAAATAAAACATATTTTATTATGATTATTGCCAGTAACCTTGGGAAGATCCTCTGTGTCTCAGGAAGTCACCTCCATGGGATCAAGCCACCACATGCACCTGGGGACACGGCCCGTGCTCTCCTGAGGCACTGCTGCTGCCCAGCAGGAACCTCCGGGCTGCTTCGGTGGGCTTGGGGGTCAGACAGGTCCAAGTGTGAACACCAAGCTCTGCCACTACCTGTGGGCCTGACTAGTGTGGGAACTCTCGGGGTCTCACTCTGATCACTTATGAAATGTATGAAGTGGAGGAAGTGGGATCTATGATGTTGGGTGGTTGTATGTGAGAGAATGTGTCAAGCTCCAAGCAGGTGTTTATGACACATAGGTACTGCTTTTGGTAACTATTATTATAGCTAGCACATGTGGTGCTTACTATATGCTAGAAGCTTCGTTTATATTATTTGATCCTTACAATAACCCTGGGAGGTATTATTTTGTTCCCCTTTTATATAGTGAGGAAACTGAGGCACAGAGTGGTAGCTATTTCTAGTGTTGTAATTAGGAAAAGCACATAGGCACACCTCATACATCTCAAGAACAAGAAAGTACTCATTTATATAGAAAAAATAATTATATTTAAATATAAGTAAGTGCGTGTGTGTGTGTGTGAGTGACGGAGTTTCACTCTTGCCCAGGCTGGAGTGCAGTGGCGTGATCTCGGCTCACTGCAACCTCCACCTCTTGGGTTCAAGCAATTCTCCTGCCTGTCTCCCAAGTAGCTGGGATTACAGGCATGCACCACCACGCCCGGCTAATTTTGTATTATTAATAGAGATGGGGTTTCTCCATGTTGGTCAGGCTGATCTCACAAACTCCTGACCTCAGGTGATCCACCCACCTTGGCCTCCCAAAGTGCTGGGATTAGGATTAGAGGCGTGAGCCACCGTGCATGGCCACAGGTAATTTTTAAAGGGGGTGTGTGTGTATTTAGTTTGCTTTTTAAATATACAGTGATTTGGAAAAACCTTAATCCAGCGGCATGTTACTGGCAGTATTTTGGATTAGAACATGGGCTTTGGAGTTAAATAGACCCGTTTATGTGCGGACTCCAACTCTGCTACTTACTAGCTCTGTAATCTGGGGCATGTTACTTAAAATCTCTGAGCCTCTACAACTGTAAATAGGAAGAGTGAGCCTGCAGTGAAGGTAAACGTGATGCCTAACTTCGAAGATTTCATGTAAATCGCCCAGTATGGTGTTTGGTGTGTAGTTGGTGCTCAGTATTGCTCCCTCTCCCCCTCCCGCTTTTCCCTCCTAAACTCAAGTTAGCTCTCTGGTACCTTATTCTCACTTCATTTCCCAAGGAAACACCACTGTAAAACATAATTATAAATTGCTATACAAAATATCTTCCCTGGACCTTGTTCTGAATGTCTTTCCTTTTATATTGTATCCCTTTTCTTTTTTGGAGGTCAGTAGGAATGGTTGAGGCAGTCTTGTGTCTCTGATTAATCAATCGCTAAAACCTACCTGAAGAAACTAAGAAGTTCCTGTTATTCTCTTTTTTTAGACAGTCTTGTTCTGTTGCCCAGACTAGAGTGCAGTTGTGCATTCTTGGCTCACTCCTGGGTTTCTCTCTTGTTGCCCAGGCTGGAGTGCAGTGGTACGATCTCGGCTCACCGCAACCTCCGCCACCTGGGTTCAAGCAATTCTCCTGCCTCAGGCTCCTGAATAACTGGGATTAAAGGCATGCGCCACCACACCCAGCTAATTTTTGTATTTTTTGTAGAGACAGAGTTTCACCATGATGGCCAGGCTGGTCTCAAATTCCCAGGATCAAGAGATCCACCACCTCAGCTTCCCAAAGTGCAGGGATTACAGGCATGATCCACCGCGCCTGGTCCCATTGTTCTTTACATGGGGTGGGCTGCTTTTGAGTTGTTTTATGTAGCGTGAGTGTGTGTGTAAATATACCATCTATCTTATTCTTTCTTTTTATCCTTATCCAAAAACCTCAGCTATAACATGTTTGGACACTTCAAGTTCTGCATTACTTTATTTGGAGGATACGTTTTATTTAAGGATCCACTGTCCATTAATCAGGCTCTTGGCATTTTATGTACATTATTTGGCATTCTCGCCTATACCCACTTTAAGCTCAGTGAACAGGAAGGAAGTAAGAGTAAACTGGCACAACGTCCTTAATTGGGTTTTTGTGGAGAAAAGAATGTTGTCCCAAGAAGATAAAAAATACGGTTAAGTGTGCAAGTTACTAAAAAAAAAAAAAAATTGGGGCCGGGTGCGGTGGCTCATGCCTGTAATCCCAGCACTTTGGGAGGCCAAGGCCAGTGGATTACCTGAGGTCAGGAGTTCGAGACCAGCCTGACCAACATGGAGAAACTCCGTCTCAACTAATAATACAAAATTAGCCAGGCGTGGTGGCGGGTGCCTGTAATCCCAGCTACTCAGGAGGCTGAGGCAGGAGAATCGCTTGAACCCGGGAGGCGGAGGTTGCGGTGAGCCAAGATCGTACCATTGCACTCCAGCCTGGGCAACAAGAGCGAAACTCCGTTTCAAAAAAATTTGTGACTGATTCAATGATTGAATGATTTGTCGGAATTAACACAAAGGAAATTTTATTCATATAATGACTTTTTTTAAAGTGTCTCTTTAAAAAAACTTAATTATCTAAAACCAAAATGGTTCATGCTTCTTTTTAAAAATGATTGTATGAAATGTATGGGATGGTTGGCCGGGTGTGCTGGTGCACACCTGTAATCCCAGCTACTTGGGAGGCTGAGACATGAGAATCGCTTGAGCCTGGGAGGCGGAGCTTGCAGTGGGCCGAGATAGCACCACAGCACTCCAGCCTGGGCAACAGAGCAAGACTGTCTCTCTCTCTATATATATATACACACCATCTCATATATATGTGGGACATATATATATGGGATGGTTTGGTTATTCCCAGCAAAGTACATAAAAATTAAAGTTCTGTGATAATGACAAAGGAATTGCTGTTACTGTACTGCAAATGTGCTATGGGTTCTCAGTGTTCATTCTTCTAAGGAAGGACACACAGTAGTAGCTCTTTGCTTGCTGATAGATGGTTTCCCAATGTGAGATTTGTTATTTTGATCAGAGTATTCAAATTAGAATTTAAATCTAGCATTTCTATTTTAGTTTAGCTTCCTGATGATTTATGTAAACGAAATCTCATTTATAAAGTATAATAAAGATGACTGTAAGACAAAATCCAATTCTAAAAGTATGATTTTTTTCTAGTAGAAAATCGGTGTAAGAAATCATACATTATTCATACATTTATAGGTCATCTCTTTGAGTTTTTGGTGAACTATAGAAACTATATGGAGTTAAAAAACAATAGCGGCCCATTGCAGTGGCTCATGCCTGTAATCCCAGCACTTTGGGAGGCCGAGGCGAGTGGATCACCTGAGGTTAGGAGTTCAAGACCAGCCTGACCAACATGGAGAAACTCCGTCTCTACTAAAAATACAAAATTAGCCCTGCATGGTGGCGCATACCTGTAATCCCAGCTATTCGGGAGGCAGAGGCAGGAGAATCACTTGAACCCAGGAGGCAGAGGTTGCAGTGAGTCGAGATCATGCCATTGCATTCCAATCTGGGCAACAAGAGTGAAACTCCATCTCAAAAAAAAAAAAAAAAAGCCCTATGTGTAAATGACTCAAAGAAAAGACTATAAATGGAATTGAACATGTTTGTTAGCTGTGTAAGCATTTTATATTGGTAATTTTTTTTTTCTTTTTTTGTCTTACTGTTAACCAAGCTAGAATGCAGTGGCACAATCATGGCTCTCTGCAGCCTCAACCTCCTGGGCTCAGGCAATCCTCCTGCCTCAGCCTCCTCAGTAGCTGGGACTACAGGCGCACACCAACACACCTGGCTGATTTTCATATTTTTTGTAGAGACAAGGTTTTGCCATGTTGCCCAGGCTGATCTCAAACTCTTGAGCTCAAGCCATCTATCTGCCTTGGCCTCTTGAAGTGCTGGGATTACAGGCCTGAGCCACCACACCTGGCCAGTAATTTCTTAATCCTGCCTCCCTGCTTCTGTTGCCTAGCCCGTACATTTGAGGCTTCCATGGAGCTTTCTGTGGTACTGACACACTTGGAGTGAACTGTGGATTTGGAGTGAACTACGTCTAGCCTTTCTAAGGTGGCTGGGGAAAATTCTGTACAGCAAGTTGGGACAAAAGCCATATAGACACTAGGCAGAAAAATTGGGATATTAGAGGAAATATATGATTTCCACCTATGGAGTGCCACATTTTTGCAAAATGTATTTCTGCTTTTCATCATCTTGACATCTGAATATTAAAAGCAGTGTTGATAATTTCATATAATAAATTGAGACATATCATTACTCTTGTAGTAAATAATTCATTTTCTAAATGTTATTTATCAACTGTGATGGAGAAAGCAACTCTTAAGAGAACAAAGACCAGCCTGGGCAACATAGTAAAACCCCGTCTGCAAAAAACACAAAAATTAGCCGGGCCTAGTGGCACATGCCTGTAGTTCCATCTACTTAGGAGGCTGAGATGGGAGGATTGCTTGAGCCCAGAAGGTGCAGGTTGCAGTGAGCCGAGATCATGCCACTGCACTTCAGCCTGGGCGACAGACTGGACTCTGTCTTGGACAAAAAGAGTGGGGGAAGAGCCACAAAATATACCTTTTGGTAAGACAGTAAATTTTATGTTTTGTGTTTTTTAACACAATAAAAATATGTATACACACAGCCTTTGGGGTTTTTGGGATTTTTTTTTCCCTGGACTCTGAAATGAGAAGCCTCACTGAAAATCTGTTTTGGAGAATTCCAATTTGTCAGTCAGTCTCTTGTGTAATTAGTACATGTGTCTTCCTGTTTTGTTTTAAATATTCTTTGGTTCTTCTCATTTTACAAAGATATGTCTTTTTTGTGCTAAGAAGGACAGAGCAGTTATTTTTTACCAGATAAGCCTCGAGTATGTTTGTCTTATGTTTGTCTAAGAAACATTCTCTGTGGATGTTTAAATTGTAATTATTTCCCAAAAGCTGAGAAAAGTGTTTCAGCACAGTGAGGATTTGACGTCTGCACTGAGAACAGCTGAGTTAATTTGTGCCATTTAGAAAGTCTTAACTGCAGGCTGGGTGCGGTGGCTCACGCCTGTAATCCCAGCACTTTGAGAGGCCAAGGCAGGTGGATCACCTGAGATCAGGAGTTTGAGACCAGCCTGGCCAACATGGCAAAACACTGTTTCTACTAAAAATACAAAAAGTAGCTGGGCGTGGTGGCAGGCACCTGTAATTCTAGCTACTCGAGAGGCTGAGGCAGGAGAATCGCTTGAACCTGGGAGTCAAGGTTGCAGTGAGCCGAGACTGCACCATTGCACTCCAGCCTGGGTGACAAGAGTGAAACTCCGTCTCAAAAAAAGAAAAAAAAAAAGAAATTCTTAACTGTAAATAGAACTTGTGGAGGGTGTTATAATATACGTGTCAGTAGGAATGCAGTAAGAAGACTGGAGGAAGACAGGATGGGGTTACAGTTACGTGTATATAAATGAATAAACTAAGTACTGCTAAAACTTGAGTCTGATAAACTTTTTTGCCCTGAAGATAATCATCCCACTGAAAAGAAAACTCCCGGGGAAAATGTGCCAGATACTGGAACCAAGCGCGGAAACAAACCAAATACGGTGCTTTCAAAGAGAACATGCTGTCTTTTGTTACCAGCATAACTGTAATTACTGTTTACTCTGTGTTAAGTGACCGAACTTCAATTTTTACCTGTTAAAGAGAACCTCTTTTTACTTTTGTATTGCATATGAGAGCCGATGGAAGAAGGATGGCATCTGTGTAACATGTGTATGGTAACGCTGGCGTGTTCAGTTGTTCATATTTGGCCTGTCCAAATAAACAGAAATGAATGAAACAAAATTCCATCTCCTTTTAAAAATAACATAAAGGAGAAACCTCTCTCTGTGAAATGAAGTAAGCATTCTTTTGTTTCACTTTTTAAAATACTTTTAAAATCTTGCTGTTTTCAACCGATTAAAGACTTCTTAAATGTTTATTTCAAAGCAGAAACATTAAGTTGGGCACAGTGGCTCACGCCTGTAATCTCAGCACTTTGAGAGGCCGAGGTAGGCAGATCACCTGAGGTCAGGAGTTCGAGACCAGCCTGGCCAATATGGTGAAACCCCATCTCTACTAAGAATACAAAAATTAGCCAGGTGTGGTGGTGCATGCCTGTAGTCCCAGCTACTTGGGAGACTGAGGCAGGAGAATGGCTTGAACCCGGGAGGTGGAGGTTGCAGTGAGCAGAGATCACACCATTGCACTCCAGCCTGAGCAACAGAGTGAGACTCTGTCTTAATAATAATGATAATAATAATAATAATGACAAAGCAGCAACATTAATCAAGCACTCTATATGTAGTCCGTCAGTAAATACTGTTGAGTGAATGACTATGCAGAATGGCCAAAGGTGAAAGTCTGATTAAAAGAAAGGAGACCTTAGCCAGGCACGGTGGCTCACGCCTGTAATCCCAGCACTTTGGGAGGCTGAGGTGGGGAGATCATCTGAGGTCAGGAGTTCGAGACCAGCCTGGCCAACATGGTGAAACCCTATCTCTACTAAAAATACAAAAAAAATTAGCTGGGCATGGTGGCAGACACCTGTAATCCCAGCTATTTGGGAGGCTGAGGCCAGAGAATCCCTTGAACTCAGGAGGCAGAGGTTTCAGTGAGCTAAGATCATGTCATTGCACTGCAGCCTGGGCAACAAAAGCAAAACTCCGTCTCAAAAGTAAATAAATAAAAAAGGAGACTGGATTTATTAGATGTAGTCTGTTTTGTCTTTCTGTTCCCGAACTTAAACTGGATTATACCTGCTAATATCAGGAATATAATGATGATTGCATTCATTCAACAAAAATTTATTGAGCGTATACTGTGTGCCAGGTACTGTGCTAGGCATTATGGATATAAAACAGTTTTTATGTAGAGACAGTCCTGTATGTCCTGTGATCTTAAGGAACATTTGTCTACCATGATAGGACTAATTAAACAGAAACAAAATAGGAATAATTAAACAGCAAACTCAATGAATGCTAAAGGGAACATGGTTCTGTGAGCACGTAACAAAAGAATCTGGCCCAGGCTTGGCAGTTGTGGAGGGAGTCCATCAAGAAAGTTTGACTGAGCTGCAGTTGTAGATATATGGAAGTTAGCTAGGCAGGGGGAGGGTGTTTCATTCTGGAAAGAGGCAATAGCGCATGCAAATGCCCATTGGTTGGAGGAATTGTGATGATTTTAGAGAACTATAAAAAGGATGGAGTCTGGAGACTAAATTTGAGAGTGGGGAGATACGGTGTGTCATGCGCCTAGAAAGATAGGCCTCAGACCATACAATACCTGGAGGCTATGGTAAGCTTCTTTAGTAAGAGCAAGGGGGAGTGTTGTGAGCACTGTCACAGTAAATTTGTTTTGAAATTAGTGGGGGAGAACCAGAGAGATGCCAGGAGACCAGTGAATTGAGAGATGACTGTAGTTAGAGATGGTGGTAGCTTGAAAAGTAGTGGAGTGAGATAAGTGGAAATCTTCAAGAGAATTGAGTGGCTGGAATCAACTGGACTGGAGATGGATTGGAAATGGAGGGCATGAGAAGGGCTGAAGTTAAGGATCACACTTCAGCTGGGCGCGGTGGCTCACGCCTGTAATCCCAGCACTTTGGGAGACCAAGGTGGGTGGATTGCTTGAGTCCAGGAGTTCGAGACCAGCCTGGGCAACATGATGAAACCCTGTCTCTACAAAGAATACAAAATTAGCTGGACACGGTGGTGTGGGCCTGTGGTCCCAGCTACTCAGGAGACTAAGGTGG